ACACCTTTTGGGGCAATGTACACCCATACAAGAGTGTGATCCAGGACGTGTCTGGGGCATGTACACCCAGAAGAGTGCTATTTTAGCATTCTATTGAGGCTGACAATACACCCTTTGGGGTGTAAACACTAACATCATTCGCGCTGCTCAATTCTTCATAGGGTGTTCGACAACACGCGGTTGGCGCTCTAGAGCGCTGTTCATTGTTGCAGTAGCGCCATTGCTCTTACTGTTGAAGTGACAAAAATATTTCACAGTAAAAGAGCATGAGATACAAAGAGCAATGATACAATAAAGAAAATATTGTTTAATATTATCTGATGATGCTAGAGTCCTTTTGGTCAGAGTAACCACAGAGATGTAACATGGTTTTCAGTGATTTCTTCACAGCCTCATCAAGGTCAGCTCATCTATAACAACAGTTCGGTCCATAGTTTGTACATGATATTATTATATAATGTTGACTTACAGAGAACCATGCATGATGCACAAGTGATTTTTGCTCGAGGAGCAGCAAAAGCGCATCTCAGTAAGCTCCAAGAATGGATCATTTGCAGTAGCTGTAATCCTGGGAAGTGGGAAGAAAGATGTATGCATCCACCTCCAATACCACTATACATACTGACATATAAATTATATTTTCACACTCACTTGACCAACTTGAAATATGAGAAGGAATTGTACAGTACCTTGTATGCTCATCATTATGCATCAGGAGGAAATGAATTGACTTCTTCCTGCTGCTTTGAAAGGGCACCCTATTGGTTTCTGACTCCAACTCTGCAAAGATATAATTATACCAATCTTGGCAGATATCAATAAATCCTGCCAATTTTCTTCAGCATTTTTTTATATACCACTCCTTACTCTTTGTAACCATTGTTAATTCTTTTTCTAATAATAAATCATTACTGATAGAATGATTAATCAAAGTGCATACATAATTTATTTAAGAGGAGGGAACGGTTATCAACGCATGTCTGTGTGCGGTCGTGGAGAATCATTCAAAATCCATTCTTGTCTACCTGTAAAAAACCAATCGAACATTGCATCAAGGGACATATCATCATACTTTCAAATCTGCTTCTCATTATATTCCTTAATCTTTTTCAACTGGCTTAGCTTTGGCAACTCACTCAACTCAAATATAGCCTTATGAGAATACCACATCTGAAGCATTGAAAATACCGATGCATGACTCACTTTCGCTACTGTTCTGATCTGATCTGCTCCCTCCCCTCGAGACTGCCTTACTGGTACTGGAAGGACAAAGTTTAATTTAAATACATGCTGGCGCTCCTACTGCTCTCCTTTCGCTCAATCCCTCACTCGTCGTCTGAGAAACGTCAGGAACACCCAAGCCGTGGACCCCGAAGCTTATGTACCATAATCGCTGGGTGCTGCTGCTGCTGGCTGTGATACTTTGGGCTCGGAGTATCTGGAGTCAAAATTCAGCGCCGTCTTAGCAGCTACGTAGCTATGATGCAGTCCTTACGTGTTTTTCTTCGACGGGTTTTGTGACGCTACACCTCGAAAATCTTTCTAATCGCGGCGTTTTCTTCGTGCGCCATGGTTTCGATCTGATGGTGTCCTTGGGCTCCAGAAGCTTTCAAATTACTGTAGCTCGAGCGTCGCAAAAAACCACAGCCATAGAGATAGTCTACTTCTACTTGCATTTGAAAATGAGTGCGCGAACATGATCTCACTACCACCGGCTGTAGCGTGGGCGTGCCGGATGGTGGTAAAGGTCATGTCTGCGCTGGTACCTGTGAGAGGGTAAACATACCTGCATCATATGTGAACTATACACCGTCAAAATAATGTGTTTTTTGTATATTGTATATTGTAATGCGTTTATTGTAAATTTGATAGTGCTATAATCAATGTTAGTGAAATTAGCGTTTTTGGATGCTAATATGTGCAACATTGCTCATGCGCACAAATGTTTATGCATGATAAGGACTGCAAGTTGCCAATTGGTAATGGTGTTAACAGAAGTAATTTTATAGGCATAAAATAACGAGGTGAGCTCTCATTATCAAAGGGTAATTAGTTTAGTTATTTTCTATTATTCATAGGACATTCCTAGGTTGTTCTCAGGAACTTAATCTGTTTATTGGGTGTATGCCTATTTGCTAGTGTTTGTTACAACCTTTAGCTTGACAACCATAGTGTTGCACTAGTGTTGACTGATGATGTGTGTATCACAGCTGAAGTCTGACTGTCTTGCAACACACCCGCTTTCGTAGCCGATTGTAATACTATGTGTACGCAGTTTGTTGTACTTTTTGCGGATATCATCCATTTTTGGATACAATGACAATACAATAAGTTTGCCTATGCGGCCCAGGGGATAGTGACCAATGTCAGTGATATACTGACGGCTATCACCACCAGTGATGGAGTCAGTCCTGATGTCGAGCTCTCCAGCGTAGTGATTCTCCCTGCATTACTACTTATGCTGTCACTGTTGCTTCCGATACTAGACGATGGCCTGTCATGAACCCCATCTGAAGTTGAACTGTGGTCTGATAGCTTGTTTTCCAGGCTTCTCAGCTCACTCTTTGTGGCAGTATTATTGCGTTCGAGATCATACACCCTTCCCTGGAGTAGGTACACATATGTTTTATCTGCCTTTCTTTCATCAATGTCTTCAACAGTGTCTCTTAACTCCTGGAAAGTGTCCTTGTCCACAGTTGATCCTTCGAGAGTTGCAACTCTATTTGATAATGTAGCAACGTCCTGTTGGTCTGCTTTCGTTGAAAGTATCGCATTCAAAGTTTGAATCCTTCCGTCAAAGTGGGTAAAGTTCAGAGTGATGTTCCACTGAAGTTGGAGTATACTGTTTTGTATGCTTTCAACTCTCTGGAGGAAGGTTTGAGTCCTCACAGTGCTGCTGGCAAGAGCTTCCAAGTCAGTCTGTGAGGCTTTTGATGCTATGGCTTGGTATAGTTCGTGATAGTGAGTCTGGTTGAGGGCACTGTCAGCTAGCTCATCCAGCTCTTGTCGTATCTCCTCATCTGCTCTGGAACTTACTTTTGCTAGTGCAGAGACATTGTCTGAGAGCAATTCAAATTCTGTCAAATTTACTTTTTCTCTCTCGAGTTTCGTCACCTGATCATTCACGGTGTCTCTACTGGCTTTGGTGGAATTTAATGACCCTATGTCGCTCTCTATACGATTTCCCCTCGTTTCGAGTGTCACTGTCCTTTCTGTGATATTTGTGAGCCAGTCTTCCAAGTCTTGTACTGTCCCCTGAAGTGCTGAAGCTGTACTGTTCAGTTCCTGTCGTGTTAGTCCAAGGCTTGCTGAGAGCTCCTGGTGACCAATTTGCAATATAGATGTCGTATTGAACTGCTGTTCTAATTCTGCTATATCTGCTCTAGCATTGTCAACCATCTCCGCCGTTAGATTGAGTTCCACTCTGACATCTCTGAGTTCACTCTCTAACTCAGACACTCTTTCATGAGTTGTGTTTGTGGCTTGCAAAGATGATAGATTGGCCGAAAGGATTTCAACTTCTGTCCTGTCAGCCTTTTCTGTGTCCAGTTGAGCCACTTTGTCTGATAGCTCATTCACAGCCTCAATGCTGGCTTTGGTGGTGTTTAGTGAAGCAATTCCACTTTCAACCCAGTCTACTCTCGTTTGAGTCACCTCTACTCTTCCTGTTGTGTTTGCGAGCTCCTCTTCTAAGTCTTTTATCGTATCTTTAAATCCTGTAATGGTACTGTTTAACTCCTCCAGATCCATAGTAAGCTCCAGGTGGTTGTTTTCAAGTCTGGAAGTCTTGTTCTTATTACTGTTCAGCTCCTGTGTCAATTTCTCCTCTAGTTCAATGATTTGACTTTGAAGAGTGAGTTCTACTCTGGTGGTATTTTCTTCCAAAGTTTGTGATATCGTATGAAGTTCAGTCCTGTTAGCCTTATCTTCATTCAACTGCGCTAGCATGTGAGATACTTCAGTTACTGCCAACTTGCTAGCTTTTGTGGCATTTAGCAAGGCAGCGACACTCTTTGTACTATTCAGTTCCACTTCTAGAGTCACTACCCTAGCCGCGGTAATCTCTAGCATTCCTTCAAGGTCATTAACTCTGGCTTTCGTGGTGTTCAGTTCATCTGCTGTGTGCCTGAGATCTGTAGACAGCTGCTCGTGACTTGCTTCCAGTGTGGATGTCTCGGATTTGGTACTGTTCAATTCCCGTTGCAACTCTGCTATCATTTCTAAAGAACTCTCCAGTTCCTTTCCTTTTGTGCCCAACTCTAGTTGTGTGTCATTCAGCTGTTTTTCAAGCTGCGTGGATTTTTCGATGGTGTCCGTTAGTGTTGATTGAAGCTTTGAGAGCAGAGAGAGCGTATCGATTGTGTTTTTCTCCAATTGTTCTATTCTCTCCAGCACACTTTCATGGTCAGAATCTATTGATTCAATCTTCTTGCTGTGTAGCCCAACAAGTATGGCCAGTACTATGATTGCAAGTATCAGTACTACTGTCACAACTGAGCACACGATAAACTGCCTCCTTCCATTTTTCTGTAAGCTATTGGGAAATTCTTCTCGCTCTGAGAGACATAAAAATTGTTTTCAAACTCTTCTCTGATTTTATCGCAGCTCATATTTTTGAATTTCAGGGCAAAGGACTCCCACGGATGGTTATTTTTCCAGACCTTTAGCTGTTTAGTAAGGTTAGAAGTCTGCATATATTGTGCTGGATTCTGTCTCAACTTGTGGCAGTCTTTTTTGAGTGGCATCCACATCTGTGTCACCGTTCCTCTCTCCCAGGAGTGGAACGCAGACGGCAGTGAGCAGTGTGGGCTGCTCTGATTCACGATGTGACTGTGATTAACATACTCATTCCAAATCTGTCTATACATCTTCCCTGGATGTGGTTGAAAGACTTGGTTAGATAGCTATACCTATTATAGACCTTTGAATTGTACCTGCCTCTGCCTCATTACTGGCCACTGATACAGGTTGAAGCCCATCTGTTTCTTTTCTGGCCATTGATGCCGGGGAAAGCCCCACTCGTATTGTAGCGGGGCTAGTTTGCCTTTGTCTGGTGCAGCCCCACGCCGACATAAAGTCCTGCCTTCCGCCGCAGCTCTTTATTGAGCCATACTTTACGTACGAAATGAAGAGGAAGAGTCCTGTGAACGCGACGACGAGTATGAAGCCGTTCTGCAGACGGCACGACCTAGGAGGAGACTCTGCCATTTCTCCCTCCCGGTGCCGAGGGTAATTAGAGGGAGATTGTCTCGCGATCGCGCGGCCACGGCTAGTGAGGCTTTCGTCACTTCCTACGCAAAGCTACGAATTTTTGGGAACGTTGCAGAGAAATTGCGACATGCGATTCAACAGGCGATGAGCCGCGCCCCGTACTGCATGCAGCTTGGGCGGGAAGGTTGCGCATGCGCGAGCAGAAACAGTGTGACGACCCGGACCCCCTATCAGCCTGCCCCCTATGCAGTGGGCGGGAGCAGCTGAGCTAGGGGAGGTGGTGTTATACAGCTAGCAGTGCATGCAGTCTATGATTCGCTGGAGAGTGTATCGGGCCGGAGGCAGGATGCGTACAGTAACCAAGATGCAGATAATGGCCGCCGTTCTAGTGGGCTTTTTCCTCGGCTACGTTCTCCTACCGTCCACCATTAGCTTCAGCACGGACGAGGCCGGCCAGGGAGACCCCGTAGGTAAAGGTTTCTACAACGCGAAGCCTAGGGCGGCAGCAATCCAGATTTCGGCACGACCTAGGAGGAGACTCTGCCATTTCTCCCTCCCGGTGCCGAGGGTAATTAGAGGGAGATTGTCTCGCGATCGCGCGGCCACGGCTAGTGAGGCTTTCGTCACTTCCTACGCAAAGCTACGAATTTTTGGGAACGTTGCAGAGAAATTGCGACATGCGATTCAACAGGCGATGAGCCGCGCCCCGTACTGCATGCAGCTTGGGCGGGAAGGTTGCGCATGCGCGAGCAGAAACAGTGTGACGACCCGGACCCCCTATCAGCCTGCCCCCTATGCAGTGGGCGGGAGCAGCTGAGCTAGGGGAGGTGGTGTTATACAGCTAGCAGTGCATGCAGTCTATGATTCGCTGGAGAGTGTATCGGGCCGGAGGCAGGATGCGTACAGTAACCAAGATGCAGATAATGGCCGCCGTTCTAGTGGGCTTTTTCCTCGGCTACGTTCTCCTACCGTCCACCATTAGCTTCAGCACGGACGAGGCCGGCCAGGGAGACCCCGTAGGTAAAGGTTTCTACAACGCGAAGCCTAGGGCGGCAGCAATCCAGATTTCGCCCGACGGCAGGGAATTTATTGTGGAAGGCAGAGCCAAGAGAATTCTGAGCGGGGCCATCCACTACTTTAGAGTGGTGCCCGACTATTGGGATGACCGCCTGAGGAAACTGAGGGCCTCGGGACTCAACACCGTGGAAACGTAAGCTAGATATAACATCTGGCGAATTTTTAGTTGTATGTATCTCTAATTAGAGCGCAGGTAATACACGGTAGCGCATGCGCAAATGTAAGCTTCCTACTGACCAGTTTGATTAACCACAGGTATGTGCCCTGGAATGCCCACGAGCCAGTTCCTGGTGTGTTTGACTTCACTGGGATCCTGGACGTGGCAGAGTTCATAAAGACAGCTCAGCACCTGGGGCTACACGTCATTGTCCGACCGGGGCCCTACATCTGTGCCGAGTGGGAAATGGGAGGCCTCCCTGCGTTAGTGTTCTTTTATTGCTGTGATGATGTAAAGATGTTGTCGTGGAGTTTGGCAGAGCCACGCCCACGAGTACAATGCATGTGTTTTACTCCACCTGCAAACAATCTTGCAGCTCCAGTCAGATTTCTGAGAACAGCTCATAATTATTATTAGCATCTTACATCGTTACGTTCGATGCTCCACCCACCCACCCAATGACATCTTACATAATCAACAAAGCTAATTTATGATGTAAATTGCATTATTCTATGCTTGCAACCAGACATATCTCACACTTCGCGCTCATGGTTGTGGCTCCAACATATACTTCATTTTGTCTCACATCCTCTGCTGATCTTAGTAAAATCTATGTATATAGCAGCATAATGCTAAGACTGTTGCTTTTCTTCAGCAAGCGTACAGATGTGTCTTTATAAAGAGTGGTGTACCGGTCGAATTGTTAACGTTTATACATATAAGGCAGCAGTACAATGGACGCCACCTGCCTCCCACGAGTTACAATCCTACAATCCTACCCTGTGTTTCCCACGCTAGCTGTACAATGTGATTCGCAATGTGATTATTTAGATTACTCACGGGAGCTTCCTAATGTGTACATATGCACTGTACAATAATATCGTTAGAGTTTTGCTGAGAAAGCTTGACTGTGCATTGTCCACGCAGGTGCATTATGACATTGTGTCAAGGCTAGTATTGTTCAAACATGCTGATAAGGTTCCAGGCATGTGCATAACACGTTGCATCAATGTTTGTTTTATGTGCTGTTGGGGGAAATGAAATTGAGTGATATCAAACATTCATTTCGTGATGATATTACATTCATGATGTTTTGCTATGGCAATTTTGGCAATTTTGCTATTTGCCATGAGCGCGAAGTGTGAGGTATGTGTTGCTATGGCAACGTTTCTATGTATTTTAATGTTGGACTCTGTGGCATGTGGGAGTGAGCCGATCTGATCTAGACAATTAACAAATAATTGGCGAGTAAAGTGAGCCTACCTAGTCGTTTCAATGCAGGAATATCTATATTAATATGTGACGGGCTCTGCACGGGCACTGCAAATATCGTAATGTTCTACGTCATTCTACATATGCGCAAAATGCATGCGAAATATTGAACTGCTTGTGCTCGCTCGCCAAAAATGTGTGGTATTCATCTTGTTTCGTGTCACTCCCTACCATAATGTATGTATGTCAAAGAATTTGGCCTGCTCCCACTTATCAAAAATGCACGTGTAGTAATAACACCATCCATGTACTGCAGGTGGTTGTTACATGATCCTAACATGGTACTTCGCTCCAACTATGCCCCCTACACCAAGGCCGTATCTCGGTACTTTACACGGCTGTTTAAGGTCCTGGGGCCCACTCCAGAGCTCGTACGGTGGACCCATCATTGGGTTCCAGGTGGAGAACGAGTATGGCTACTGGACGAATGACACCACTGCCGGGAGGGCGCACCTGCAGTTTCTGCACAAGGTCAGCTGACAAGGCTAGCTGCGTGTTTGGGCTATTCACGTCACAGTACAGTCCACCTTAAAGGAGTCGGTCTTGTTTGTGCGTCACACTATAGTATCCTGAAAAGGAGTCGGTCTTGTTACGTTTAGAGTATTCACGATTTGCAACTTCAACTTTATTGTTGGATATGACACACACACACACGTTGGTATGACCTACATACATACAGCTGTTGCAGACAGTGGTGGGGACGTACATACTTGCAACACACACGTTGGTATGACTTACAGGTAATAGAAAAGAGTGGTGGGAATGTACACACATGAAGTGGTGGGGATGTACTTACATGTACATAATGTACATAATGTACATAATATACATAATGTACATAATATACACAATGTACATAATGTACATAATGTACATGCATAAGTTACCGATGTGCAGATGTGCAGATATTATGCGTGAGTGTGATAAGTGGTTAGTTAGGGATGAAGACAATATTCAGCAGTACCAGAGAGACAGTAATGGCCATCATCCAGGAAGACGCTATCCCCAGAGAATAGGCACTCGATTGTGTCTGGAGCTGGCTAATGCTGTCTTCCACATCAGATATTTCTTTTGTGTTTGCGTTGATTTGGTTTTCGTTGTCAGTGATATCAGATGCCAGCTGATCGTGTGTTTCTTGAGACGATGAAATGTGCTCTGTCACTTTCCCGTCAAGACTACTGGATTCATTCTGTAATTGTTCCACTTCGACTTTTAGCTCATTAACCGTTTTGTTCAACGTCCCTAAATCCCTATCTAAATTACCAACCTCATTTGTTAGTGCATCAACGTCTTGTTCCTCGACTACTGCAGCGACTGTTTGTACGGTCTCTCCTAGAGTAGTGAGATCCCGAGTCAATCGCTGATGCTACCATTGATGTCCCGGGATAGGTTAGAAACCCGTTTTTCGAGCGCTTTCAAGTCAGACAGGTTAGCTTTGGTCTCCGCGAACATGTTCACAATGTCCTGTAGCTCGTCATGGTGCGTTCTATTGATAGTACCGCCAGCTAGATCGTCTATGTCATATCTAAGTTTTTGGTCTATCCTGGATGTGGTGCTTCTTAGGGACGTCAGGTTTGCCGAGAGACTGTCAAATTCAGCCCTCTCCACCTTTGTAGTTTTCAGGACTGCCACCTGGTCTAAAATGCTGGCAACAGCAAGCGTCGCGTTGTGTGCTACTGTGAACAAGCCTTGTATATCCACCTCTAATTCCCCTGTCGTGTATTCCAGCGTCTGAGACAGTTCGTCGGTGCTGTTTTGTAGGGTTGCCACACGTGAGACCAGAATTTCAAAGTTGCTCTGGTTGGCCTTGGTGGAGGCAAATATGGCGATAAAGTCTTCCAGCTGATCGTGGTGGGTCTGGTTGAGTGCACTGTTGGATAGCTCGTTCAGTTCCTGTCGTATATCTTTGTGTGCCTGTGTACTAACCTCTGCCAGCAGTGTTTGGTTGGCGGAGAGGACCACAAACTCAGCTTGGGAGGCTTTTTCTCTGTGCAGCTCACTCACTGCTACTACGCTAGCCTTGGTAGCATTCAGAGTCACAATCAATCCACGTGTGATGCTTAGTTCAGATTCTAACACCTCGATCCTGACGGTTGCGTTGTGCAACTGTTTGTTTGTTGCAATCAGTTCTTCTTCCATTTTCTTTACCGCAGCCGCGTGGGTTTCCTCCAAAAGCGATATCTTATCGGTGGCATTTTCCAGCTTCTCTTCGGCTATGTTGAGTGCCTGTTGCATTATCTCAAATGCTTCAAGGTGCTTCTGTTCCAGTGCTACTATCATGTTTTTGCGTTTGCAAGTCTGTCTTCGGTGTCGCTCAGTTTCCATTTCATGGCTCCCAGCTCGGCCGTAAAGTTGCTCTGGAGACTTTTGATCTGTTCCATGAGCGTGGTTTGGATACTGGTGTCTCCCAGTTGTGCATCTTGTGCCAGACTGGTGTCCGAGTCTTTCAGCTGTTGGTTCTGATGCTCCAAGTAGACGACTACCACGGCGTCGTTTACGAGTACTATTAGGAATGCTATAACTGCTCCAATAGTCAGTGTTACTAGAAAGGGCTTGCAACTGGATCCCCTTGTTGCCGAGTACACTCTACTTGGACCCTCTGGCTGTTCTAATCTAAAGGCTTCTCTGTGTTGAAGACAGTTAGCAGTTCAAGATGCGTGAAGCATGCATGATGTACTAGACAGACAGAACGACTACCGTAACCCTCGCTGTGCATGCGCGTCGAGGGTTAAACAATATACAATATCTCCAACAACGTGTTACGCCACACCTGGATCAAATGAATATTATGTCAGCATTTTCAAACTAGAATAATATGTGCATTGTGTAGCTCACAAGTTGTTCATGTTAAGGTATGAATTCCTCTACTCCATTGGAGTTAACCTGTTGCAAAGATGGGTGGAACTAAGTCGCAGTTCATGACTACAATAAACAACACCTGCTGAACTGATCACACCACACAGTTTGACAAAGTCAATGTAGCTATATCTGTTTGGCTGTGTTACACCCCTTTTCCTCAACACTTGTTTCACCTACACAGTCTACTACACTCAGACTGAACGATTAAAATAATGTTGTTGTAGGAATGAATGCAAAGCTTCATTACTAAGAAAAATTGGGCCACGTAGTGAAGAATCGTTGCAAGACACTTGTTGCACCGTTGTTCCATCATATTTCCACGCACTGTAGCTCAAAACACAGTTAACCCTCTGCAGTATGGAGACTACATCCAGTTGTTTGTGGTAACTCCTCAACGCTTTGCATAGCTCAGATATAAAGTATGGCTTCTCGGGATCGCCATAAATAGGTGGACGGAAAGCAAGACAACCAGGTGCAGTATAGAGCAGGCAAAGAGAATGTCTCCGGTTTGCACTTAAGCATTGTACACTGCTGCTGCTGCTGCTCCAGGATTATTAAGTGACTTCTGCAGTTGATCTGATTGGGGACCTCGACATGCTTGAATAAAGAACATTTTCGGTTTATCTCGAAGTGCTTCACAACTAGAAAATATCCTCCCTACCGTTTCTTCTAGATAAATGCGCCCACCATTAGTATCAACAATATACTCTTTACCATTCTGTTCATCACGGCCACCGTACGAACAGATACAACAGACAAAGTTACTGTGGTCTTTATGAACTAGCTCAACAGCTCTTTTAAGTTTTTGACAGATTGTGGGGTGTTCATGTAGTGTTGTTACATTGTAATTTAAATCTCCAAAGGTCTCTACAAGGTCCTCCTCTTCTTCCTCAGCGATTATTCGTTTATTTGGGTTGCAAATAATTAAAGCAACCCCTACATGACCTCCATGAACACTTGTTTTCAAATCATAGTAGAAAATAATTGCGTCACGACGTTTGTGGCCGTCTGATAAGAATGTGTCAAAACCTCTTTCAATTAAAAATTGCTGCTTTTTTGAGCCGTCGCTGAAATGTGTGTTATTGGTGCTTAAACGTGTAGTCCGCGGATAAAATATCTGCTAAGCGCTTCTTGCGCGCTCACAGCTCGCGCAATTGCATAGGCGGAGTCGCTTCCGTGCGCATGCGTATAAAACGGGCGGTGCCTGGCACAAACAAAAATTCAAAAACGTACTCGAAGGCAAGTGTATGGAGCCTTCGTTTGTACCGCTAGCGCAACGCTGGAACAACTTAGCTGCGGTGCGTAACACGGATTGGTAATAAAATGTGCGCACGCGAGTATATAATACGTATATACAAGTGCGTGCAAGCTGGCTGTATGGCTCAGTCTTCCTCCAAGGATGTTCCTCAGGACTCTGCTGAGGGCTAGGGCTAGGGCTAGTTCCTCAGGACTCTGCTGATGGAAAGAACAAGATAATTAATATCAGCTATGTCAAAGAGCTTCGCCATTAGCTCGACCGGCTTCAATGGAGGTCAGTGCTCCCGCAGGAGCGAGAGCGGACTTTAGAGCTTCCATTCGCTCCTTGAACGCTGCCATCGTGTCAGTGTTGCCAAACGTTAGCTGGATAGTGAAACGTGGGCCGCCGGCCCTCGGTTTCTTGGCCGCTGGAGGCAGACATTCATGTGCGAGTAGCGTAAGAAGCGCTGTTCAGCGCATTCATGAGCAAGTAGCGCAAGAAGCGCTGATTCAGCATTGAGAGGCACAAACGCAGCGTGTTTTAGTGCGTGGAAACGGGTGCGTGGTAGCCAGCGGCTCAGGAAGTGAAGAGACAGTAGTTTGAACACCGCCATTTTGTCACGGTGTGCGCTAAAGTTAATCGATTTTTGCCTGGCACGCCCCTTTTTATACGCGGGCTACACGTTTAAATACTTGTCTATGTCGTATGTTTGTGATGCTTCCAAACATTCAATGGTGTCTAGGGTATCTACCAGCAATGAACAGTTCTTGTCAATTTCTTTTTTTCTCTCAGAGATGACTTTTAATAATTCAGTAGACTCTGGTGGAGAATATGTCATTTTTTGCATTTCAAGATTTGGTTTTGGATTGAGAAGGGAACGACCTTCATTTGCACCTTCATTTTCTTTAGTGCCCAGAATCGAGGAAATCGAGGGAATGAAACAAAAAAAGTTGGAGATAGTTGAGATGAAACGACTCTGCAGTGTCTCATTTAGAACCTCGTCCATCTCTCTCAAGTACTCAAGCGTCTGAGCGCCTTCGCTAGGGGGGCGTCGACCGATCGAGCTTCTCGAGGGGCGAGGGATCAACTGGAGTTCCGACGCGTAGCGACTTCCGGCCACGCCCAAAATCACTCCACTCCGATGCGCCGAGCGCATTAGCGTGATAAATTATAGGCAACTACTCCGGGCGGGTTGTATTCTCGCATAAATTAAACGTACGTCGTAAATTAGCCACGCTTAGGAATGTCAATTAGTCACCAAAAGGAAGTGTAACTTCCGTCATTCGTAGGAAGTCTGCTTCGCGCGCGCAGTCAGTAGAGCGCCCGCACGAGCGGCCTCAGTCGGGCAGTCATAATGAGTGGAATGCAAATTACACAATGATAGTGAACAAAAAAAAAAGAAGGACAACAAAAAAACAAAAACAAAACAAAAAAAGGATCCCAAAAAAACCAAAAAACCAAAAAAAAACAAAGATAACCACACACGAAAACACTCCCGGCCGAAGGGGGGATTCAGACCACACCGTCTAGGAAAGGGGCAGGTGGCTGTCGGGCATTGGCGCGGCCTGCGTGGCAAAATATGCGCGTGCGCATAATTAAGGCCACGCCCACTCATTCAAGCGCACTCTAGTCCGTGACACGCGACCCAGGGTGACTAGACTCCAGATGGTGCGTTTGTGGTAGCTTTGAGAAAAGCTGTTTGAAAGAAAAAGAAAAAAAGAGACAGTGCCGGTCAGGTCAAGGTCTGCTGGCGGTGCCTCAGGACAATGTCACGGCAGAGACACGCGAGTATGGGGCGCCATTTGTGTGTTCACCCGACTACCCCTTTTCGCAGCGTTTAGCTAAATCGGGTCGTACAGAACTTCGCGTAAAAGGGGTGTAAATGCCCTGATTCAATCAGGGGACGATTTTATGCGACTTTACCCCACGACTGACTTTACGCGACCTACGCCATGATCCCATCATGGGGGAGTTTTACGCAGGTTGCAACCCACGTAAAACCCCGTCTAGTAGAAAGGGATGCTCTTACAGTGGCACGGTTTTACGCGACTTGGTAATGATCCTCAAAAAGCCGGGGCGGCTTCCAGGATTGCGACCTTTGACCTCACGTAAAACCGCCCCAGAGTAATACGGCAACTGCTCTGCAAGGCTTTTGCGTCGTCAACTCTAGACCTTTGACCTCACGTAAAATCATGCCAGAGTAACTCCTGTCATGTCTAGGTCTGCAACCTTTTTACACGCGCACGCAGAGTGTGTGTGCCGAGCGACGCGACACACCCACCTAGTGTGCGCATGCGCATGTGGATAATTCATTGCGCATGTGCACCAGAAAGAGGGTTGGGAACAAGATCAAAATGAGGACTGGGCTCAACACAAAGAAGAAGGTTGTGCATGTGTGAATTATGATCACTGGGTATAAATGCCATAGTGGTGAATAGCATGTGTGATTACTTCCTTTGAGTCAGTCGAGGCCATCTTCATCAAGAGCAAATTCCTCACTGGTTTTGTCAGAAGGGAAAAACACTGAATACTTCCTTCCCTGTCATGCAGTTAAACGATGTGATCAGTCCTTGATACCACTTGGAGCATCCATCCTGATCATCATATTTTACTCTTACCGTCTTACCCATGACTTCTGGATGATGGATAGTGACTACAGTGGAACCTCCGAACAAAGGCCACCCTCGGGGACAAGCCTTTTGGCCTTTGTAGAGAGGTTGGCCCTTGTTCATAGGTTTTGTGTCAAACACCCCAGATTTGATGTTTTTTTTACATACTCATTATTAAAAGCAGAATAAACTAGCAAGAAAGTGGTATAATTATATAATAGCATCTTAAGAACTCGGTTGGAAGTAATCGTGCAAGGTGCTTTGTCTCATTGAAGCGATTTGTAATGCAGATAAAGCATCGACAGCAGGCCCAATGTACGTCATTGAAGTGGACATATGCCCATTGCTTTCTAGAAAGCTCTGTACATCCTCCAAGGCTATTATGGCATCATTGAAAGTAGTGATCTTTGCTTCAAGGGATTCAGTTTGAACATCGGCCTCTGTTTCACTCTCTTGCATCTCTTCACTGTCTTCAGACGGCTGTCCCAATTGTGAAATGAAATTTTCATCCCATTTTTCATCTTCTGTGTCATTACATGTTGACAAATCATCATCTCCGTTCACATACTCTTGTGCATTGCACCTCTCAGTCTCGGGTATTATATCAGCAATGAGGCCCTGAAGATCTGTATCATCTACGTCCGCAAAAGGATCATCTTCACCCATATCGCACGAAACAACATCCATTGATCCCAGCACTTCGAAAACACTTGCGAATAGTTTCTTCCTTCACATTTTTTGAGCCATCCATCTAATTGCCATGAGAATGTTCAATGAACTTGTAACTTCAGATGCAGTTTTGCACTGATCAATTTTGGAGAGAACATATCTTAAAAGAAAGCGACGATAATGCACCTTGAAGTTCTTTATAATACCGAGATCAAGGGGCTGCAATTTTGAGGTGGTATTAGGCGACAAGAAGCATATTTTTTATATTGCTAAACTTCTTCTCAAGGTATTCAGGAAGACAACCAGCATTGTCCATTAGTAGCAAAATTGAACGATTGGTAGTGGATAATTTGTGATTGAATCTACTAAGAGAATGGCCTCCATTATATCACCTGTCATCCATGCCTTCCTTTGGTCAAAGTACGTCACAGGCAGTACACTTTTGTCGAATCTTTTCAAACAACGTGGGTTTGCCGATTTCCAGATAAAAATGGGCTTTTCCTTTACACCAGCAGCACTGACAAAGAACGCAACAGTTATTCTGTGTTTTGACTGCTTTCCTCCCTTACACCCTTTTCCTTTCTCTCCAAATCCCTTACTAGGCAAAGCCCTCCAGAAGACTCGGGTCTCGTCCATATTATAAATGTTTTCTTTTGTGTAACCGCTTACTATTTCAGGGAGCGTCTCTTTCCACGAATCTATCGTGCTTCCTTGCACATCCCCTGATTCACCACACACAGCAAATTCCTTTATGTTGTATCTTTCCTTCCATTTGCATAGCCACCCATTCGATCCTTTGAAATTTGGCTTTTCTAATCGCTCTGCAATCTCTTTAGCTTTTGCTATAAGCTCTGGTCCTCCAGGGTGGATATTTTTTGAGCTAGCAAGAGCATACCATTCATACAATACTTTATTAACTTCTTCAAATTCTGAAACACGACGAACTTTGCTATTTCCTGAAGCATTTGACTGACATTATGGACTCACTGTCCCTTAGAATTTTAACTATCTGGGTTCTTCCACAGCAAGGGATCTATGGCTCATTCCACTGTTCTTTCCAAACATCTTTATTACTTCCACTTTCTGCTTCAGGGTAAGGTATCGCTTTTTCTTCATGCTGTTGGTAGCCATTTTGCCTTAGACATTACACGTGGTGATGGGTGGAGCCTTAGTGCGCACGCTCTGCCGTGCCCGGCCGTGCAATCTCGCATGAGATCTGTGAGTGACAAAGCTGGCCATTGCGTAGTATCCATAGACAGTACCATGGCCAGTCAAGCTGTATCAGGAAGTGGACTAGAGGTTTTTGAGATACATTCCTACGTACATAAGAGGATACCACGCATACATTGGACTATGGACTCCGACCATCGGCGAAGTTTTACTTGTCAAGCCCGAACCAACAAATGAGAAAGACTCGAACGCCGTGGCAGTGTTAAAAGAAGATAGCATTGTTGGGCATGTTCCACGAAATCTTTCCCCTAGACTGTTCCATCTTTTAAAGGGATGTCAATAAAGCATTTGCTGAAGTTACCGTCAAAAAGTGAACAGGGGTGCAGGCTATGGCCTAGAGATACCATGCACCTATCGCTTGTACGGTCCACCTGCTTATATAAACAAGATGAAAGAACTAGTGGAATCACTTGCTGCATCTTAGCTAGCTAGCTACTGACTACATGTATTATACTGTATCGTTTTTTGTATGGGTGTGGCGTGGCCGTTGGTCGGAGTGGAGAGGTGCCGCTTTAGAGGTTTTAAATAATGGTAAGTAGCTATATGGAAGACATTCCGTTCCATGCGTGATGGCCGTTGTAGAGAGTCCGGCCGCTCTTCGGAGGCCCGCTGTAGAGAGGTTCCACTGTACACTCTCATCAACTCTAACAGTGGTTTTGTCGGTGCTTTGCTCCTGTTGTAAGTGACACCGCTTATCTGGGGGACCAAACCCATTTGTCAATTGTCTTGTAAAGCTTTCCTTTTACGTTGAAGTTTCCTTGCAGCAGCACTGCACCGTCATGTCGTACTGGTAGGGCTAACAGTTGTCTGTCCAGGTCATTGAAAGCATTTTGACCTGTTACGGTGGGAAGTAGTTTCTGCCTGATGGCGTCATCGAGGGGTTTCATGTGGCTCTCAATATCAGGGACTGTCCGGCTGAGGTAGGTCCATTTGCTGATCAGGCCATGCGTGAATGCTGAGTAGGCAGCGTGAGTTGACTTGTGTGATCGCGATGTTTGACAGCTCTTCTACTTCTTGCGTCCACTTGGCAACTTTCTGTTGTACATAGCTGTTGACGAAGCGTGTTGTACCTATGGCAGCCCCAAGGAGCTTTCTGCCATCAGATGCTATGGATACGTTTGTTCCTCGGAATATTATGCTGTGGGCCTCTTCGAGTTTCTCTTCCTTTACGACTAGCCATGTTTTTGCCGCGTTTGGAAAGTACCCGTACTCAAGGCCTTTTTTGGTGATTTCGTCCCACCATGTTTGAGGTTGCTGATCTTACCGCAGGCTGTGGCATCATCGGCGTACCAGATCTGCTTCACTGATTTATCTTCGAGATCTTTCATCAGTGGCGTGATGGCAATGGTGTACATCGCCATTGCCAGGGGGGGTCTCCTTGTGTTGTGCCCTCTTGTGACAGAAGAGTCTCCCCATCTATAAACAGTTGAGCTTTCTCTCTGTAGGTGTGTTTATAAGCACCTTCGAAAGAGAGGGACATAAGTGTTGGATGTTTCGAAGGGCTGCCTTGTCTGTGAGGCGTTGAATTGCATTTGATGCATCCACTAGTATCGTGCCTCGTGTCAGGTGCTATGAACAGCTTGCGTGCGGCTGAGACTGCTGCTGTCACAGCCTGATAGATGGCCCGCGGCATACCTGAGGGCTGCTGCTTCCTGGATGTCTTCACTGATAGGCCTTGCTATGGTCTGCACGATTATCTCGCCTGGCAGTCTCCCCAACACGATCTGGCCTATTACCCCGGAGCACTTAGTCACAAGAGCGATGAGGCCGAGGCGACAAGCTACTAGGGCTGAGACGTTCCGCTAGGGTTCACGTGTGGGAGCAGGCGTTTTCTGGCTGTCGCGGCCAGTGCATCGCGGCAGCTTAGCTTAGAGGCAACAGAAAACAAGAGAAGAATACGAGATCGAGAGAAGAGATAAAGGAAACAAGAGCTTAGATTCAAAAAGAATGCAAAGCTGGTAGAACATGCTAAAAAGAGCTAAAGAACGCAAAAGGCTCGCTAAGGGAGCAGCTTTGTAGGAGAAGGATGAGCACAGTCTTTTCATGCGGCTCTGCATCCATGCATGAGGGGCCTGCTGCTCCATCCGTCCTCAGGGCCATACTACGATTAGCTGTCCATCTATTTTTTCGAAATAATGGGGTGTGTCGGCGGTTGTTTTTGTTGTGTGTCTGGATCGACTAGGGATGTTGGCTGGCTGGCTTTTGAAGAGAGGGTGCTTTGCCTGGAGAATTTCGCACTGTTTTGGCGTGCCATTCTCTTCGATCTGGCTGTCCAGGGGTAAGGGGCCATTGTTGTTGTCTTGGCTTAGCAGGCGTAGTGCCGCT